ATAATTTGACATGCACAATTCATGCGTTATCGATCTCTAGCTAAGGGGTTAAATTGAAGTTCACATGAATACGGATTCAATGAGGTCAAACTATTCACTTGCAAGTGAATAATTCATCATCAATGTACCTTAGCTTATTTTGACAAAATTGAACTATACTGGCTGCTAAAAGCGAATTAATATTTCCCTTTTTCACTTTCATTAATGATTGAACAAAAAACAATCCTATTTTAGATTTTATATATCTCGTAGCTAGTGCCCCTTTAATCTGTATAAACTAATTTTCTGAATGCTATATATATTTTTTTTTTTTATGAAGTGAACTCCTTTAATTCGATAATAATCTATTTTTATTAAAGGATATATTTCATTACATTACATTGTGTAGATAAAGTTCATAGATAATTTCCAGATCCAAATTAGTTTGTGACAAATGAAAGAAAAAATATTTGGAACTATTAATTATATTTGATTATAATTTGAAAATAGATATACATTGTGTTACATCATATCTAATTTTAGACAACTATTTTTAGTGAAATCATATCTAATGTTGGAGTACTATGTTAAACCATATTTCTGTTCAAAGGGAAATAACTCAGTTTTTATGTGGTATTTTATTTTTGTTGTGTGTGTTAATGTTTAATTTTTACATGATCCTGTTTAGGGTTCAGATTTGCAAATATCATTTTCATTATTAATTAGATAATAATCTATTATAAATATTCAATCACAATCCAAATTCAGAGGTGTTTTAAGCTTAAATGTTGTGTCCATACTTGCTTAACTGTTCAGGGTTCGACCTCTGCAGGAAAATCCGGTTTGCTGTCACTCGACAGCCTTTTGTTGAGGGGGTGGACAGGGGAATACCCTTCTCCCACCTCCCGCCCCCTAATTTTAGAATCTTTTTTTCTCTCCCACCTATTTTTTGTCTCCCACCTCCGCACCCCTTCTCCCACCTCCACCCCCCTCCCACCTCCCTAAAAAGCTGTCCACCCCTCCTTGTTTGATCTTGACCTCATTTTAACATTTATTTGCTCAATGTTAAGTTTTTTTTGTATTGGTCTGTTTAATATCACCGCAAAAAATTATTTGATGCTATGGTGTCGGCTACGTCATCTGAGGACAATAACTTAAGTTTAAGTGAATGGATCTCTAAGAAATTTTACCAGAAGGTTCAATACCACAAAAGGGAGGTTGGGATTGATTTTGGGGGTTATGGTACCAACAGTTTAGGAATTAGGGGCCAAAAACAAGCATTTTTGTAGTTTCCAGACAAAAACTTGTGTGTAAGTGTATAGATCTCTCAGAAATTGTACCATAAGATTCCATATCACGAAGGGAAGGCTAGGTTTGAGTTTGGGGGTAATTGCCCCAACGGTTCAGGAATTAGGGGCAAAAAAGGGGCCAAAAACAAGCATTTTTTCTAGTTTCCAGACAGTAACTTGTGTTTAAGTTTATGGATCTCTCTAAAATTGTACAAGGTTCCATTCCACAAAGGGAATGTTGGGATTAATTTGGGGGTAATCACTCCAATTTTTTTGGGGGTTCATATTTTTTTTCTTCGAAATTTTTGAAATTCCAAATGCGCAATAGCAAGAAATCTTCAATAGCACAGTATTGCGCAATAGCAAGAAATCTTCAATAGCACAGTATTGTTCAATACCACAGTATTGGTCAATAGCAAGAAATCTTCAATTGCACAGTATTGCGCAATAGCAAGAAATCTTCAGTTGCACAGTATTGTGCAAAAGCAAGAAATCTTCAATTGCACAGTAATGTGCAATAGCACAGTATTGCACAATAGCACAGTATTGAGCAATAGCACAGTATTGCACAAAAGCAAGAAATCTTCAATTGCACAGTATTGCACAAAAGCAAGAAATCTTCAATTGCACAGTATTGGGCAATAGCAAGAAATCTTCAGTTGCACAGTATTGCGCAATAGCAAGAAATTTCCATTTGCACAGTATTGCTCAACAACAAAGTACTGCGCAATAGCAAGAAACCTTCAATTGCACAGTATTGCACAATAGCACAGTATTGTGCAATAGCAAGAAATCTTCAATTGCACAGTATTGCGCAATAGCAAGAAATCTTCAATTGCACAGTATTGTGCAAAAGCAAGAAATTTCCATTTGCACAGTATTGCTCAACAACAAAGTACTGCACAATAGCACAGTATTGCACAAAAGCAAGAAATCTTCAATTGCACAGTATTGCGCAATAGCAAGAAATCTTCAATTGCACAGTATTGCGCAATAGCAAGAAATTTCCATTTGCACAGTATTGCTCAACAACAAAGTACTGCGCAATAGCAAGGGGGAATTAGGGGCCAAAAACAAGCATTTTTGTAGTTTCCAGACAATAACTTGTGTGTAAGGGTATAGATCTCTCAGAAGTTGTACCATAAGATTCCATATCAAGAAGGGAAGGCTTGGATTGAGTTTGGGGGTAATTGCCCCAACGGTTCAGGAATTAGGGGCAAAATAGGGGCCAAAAACAAGCATTTTTTCTAGTTTCCAGACAGTAACTTGTGTTTAAGTGTATGGATCTCTCTAAAATTGTACAAGGTTCCATTCCACAAAGGGAAGGCTGGGATTAATTTGGGGGTAATTACTCCAAGGAGGAGGGGGTTCAAAAAGTTTGGGAGGATTTTTTTTTTCCAATTTTTTTAGGGGTTCATATTTTTTTTCTTTGAAATTTTTGAAATTTCAAATGATTGCACAGTATTGCGCAATAGCAAGAAATCTTCAATAGCACAGTATTGTGCAATAGCAAGAAATCTTCAATAGCACAGTATTGTTCAATACCACAGTATTGGTCAATAGCAAGAAATCTTCAATTGCACAGTATTGCGCAATAGTAAGAAATCTTCAGTTGCACAGTATTGTGCAAAAGCAAGAAATCTTCAATTGCACAGTAATGTGCAATAGCACAGTATTGCACAATAGCACAGTATTGAGCAATAGCACAGTATTGAGCAATAGCACAGTATTGCACAAAAGCAAGAAATCTTCAATTGCACAGTATTGGGCATTAGCAAGAAATCTTCAATTGCACAGTATTGCGCAATAGCAAGAAATCTTCAATTGCACAGTATTGCGCAATAGCAAGAAATTTCCATTTGCACAGTATTGCTCAACAACAAAGTACTGCGCAATAGCAAGAAATCTTCAATTGCACAGTATTGCACAATAGCACAGTATTGTGCAATAGCAAGAAATCTTCAATTATACAGTATTGCGTAATAGCAAGAACTCTTCAATTGGCCAGTATTGCAAAATAGCAGAGTATTGCGCAAAAACACAGTATTGCGCAATAGCAAGAAATCTTCAATTACACAGTATTGCGCAATTGCAAGAAATCTTATATTGCACAGTATTGCGCAATAGCAAGAAATTTTCAATTGAAAATAAATACAATTCTATTAACCAATTTCAATGGGATTTATTTAAAATCTTTAATTTTTGGGGGTTTTAACCATGTATTACTTTGGATATTGGGCCCCATTTTTAAATTGGTCTACATTGAGGTCAAAAGGGTCCAAAATTAAACTTTGTTTGATTTCATCAAAAACTGAATTATTGCGGCTGTATGATATGCTGAATCTTATTGTGCATTTAGATTTTTTTATTTTGGGCCCAGTTTTCAAATTAGGTTTGATTAAGGTTTGAAGGGTCTAAAATTAAACTTTGTTTGATTTCAACTAAAATTAAATTTTTGGTGTTTTTTTATATGCTGAATCTAACCATGTTGTTAGATTTTGGATATCAGACCATTCTAGGTATATTAAATGTCCCATTTCAAATTTATAATATCTTTGACCACATTTATTTTGTGTCAGAAACCTATATTATGTCAAAAATTTGATCACAATCCAAATTAAGACAGTTTCAAGCTTGAATATTGACGAATGTGTCCAAACTTGCCCCAACTGTTCTGGATTAGACCTCTGCGGTCGTATCTGGCTGTGCTCAGCGAAGCATTTTATTCTTAAACTATAAGCAATAGGTCAACTATGTTTGGTGTATGGAATGATTGTAAAGTGTACATGTCTGTCTGGCAGGGTTCATCTTATCTTGACCTCATATTCATGGTTCATTGGTCAATAGAATGTTTTCATGGTTTGGTCTGTTTCTTGTATACTATTAGCAATAGATCAACTATATTCAATGTATGGAATGATTGTAAGGTGTACATGTATTTCTGGCTTGGTTTATCTGACTTTGACCTCATTTTGTTGGATCATGAGAAGTTAATGTGATACTTGTAGTAAAACTTTATATTTAGGACTATCAACATAAAATCAATGGTAGTAAAGTAGGCGAGACATTTCAGCGAGTACTCTCTTGTTTATGATGTCAATAGATTTAATCGCCTAACTATATATAATGCTGTTACAGGATTATCTTATTTTCCTTTATTGTCACATGGACGGAGTTCATGATGATTAATTAATTAGCTGCGGAACCATAGCTCATAGGTCCTTTTGATTTTTTTGTCAAATATGGTTCGCAAATTGTCTAAAAATATCATAAGGACCTATGAGCTACGGTTCCGCAGCTAATTAATTAATATTCAATAAGTCTAATGGCATATATTACATGCATATCAAGGAAAATGTCATTTTAATGTTAAATATATATATATATACCCTGCCTTGTCCTAGACTGATACGCTGAACCAGATTTTCAGCATGGGAGTTCATAAGGTAACAGTCTGCTGGAAGTCATGTCACCCTACCAAGACACATTACTCTGACTCAGAGCCAACTAATCTTTGCTTTAACTCCTGCATGCAGCATGCTTAGAAGAAAAGCAGCTAAATGTAAATTTCCTTGTCTGGTTTGACCAAACAGGGACCTATTGCACACACTACAATGAGACCACCAATGTGGTTGATTGAGAATGCATGTCTGTTTGTCAAAGTAATCTTTTACTTTGACGTAGATGTTTGAATATTTTGTGACAAGTTGAAAAATACACACAAAACACAGATCCACATACATATTTATTCATTACTACATCACATTTACAAAGTTCAATTAAACTTAATGGAATGACATTCTTTGACTAGATAGTAAAAGAAATAAGTATATAAATATAAGATTAACACGCACATGAAAAATTAAATGATTAATAAAGCTGGATAATATGTTCTTGTTACTTTTATTATATACATGAATACATTCAATGTATGAATAATGTCAGAAAATAAAAACTTTATTTAAACAGTTTAAGAAACAGAGAGAAAGGTGAGACTAGTCAAACTTTTCTCCTGTTTAATATGTAGCCAGATCAAATAAATTGTATATTTTCCACATTGTTCATATCTTGTTTTTACCCTGCATTTAAATGTTCATGGTTAAATATCTAGTTTAATAATTTCAAGTCATTGTTTTTTCTTTGTAAAATTTGACTATCTTGAGTACAGACCTTGGTGAGGACACCAAAATGAACTGTGATTAAACTTTGTTTGAATATTACCATTCACTCACAATAGAAGAAGGATACCAGGAGAAGATAATGTATACTATATGAATATTACATCAGTTTATTTGTATATCTGTATTTTTAAATAGAATTGCAGGATAAAATATCCAAAATTGCTCAGTTCCAATTCAGCAAATTATTATTTTTTTAAAGTTTTAAATTTACATTCAGTAAATGTACACTCTTTAAAAGTCAAAACTAACTATTTTTATTATTCATGAGTTTTGTTCAAATTGCTTTCATTTTATGCATGTCTATATTGAATGTGAACACTGCATGGTTCAGAATTTAAAGAATTAATCAACATAAATGACCACCTTGCCAGTGCATGACAAAAATGTTGATATTAATTTAGTTCAGCTACAATATGTCAAGTCTAATCTACTGTCCTGTTTACATTCACTAGTGATACTAATGTCCATCAGATCTCATCTAAAGTCCTCTGCGGAAAACATACCCTGAAATAAAATAATGATTATGTTGTAGTCATATCAATAGAAAGTGTAATGTTAAACTGGTTCCCTCATTCAACCAAAATCTTGTTTAGTGGAAGAAGTTAATGTACAAATTCCAGGATTCCCTGTTATTATTCTTTAATTTACAATTATGAACTTGATCAAAAGTTGCAATCCAAAATTAATAAATCCAGAAAAGATTATTTTCCAGAAGCCTTTATTTAATTTGCCCACAGAAAAAAGGGGTTATTTTTGGTAATTATTTTCTAAGTGGATACTATAGTAAAGTGTAATATAAAAGATTATTATACTTCAATATAGTAGCACTGATAAAATAACCACAAAAAATTACCCTTTTTTACCTGCAGGTAGACAAAATAATTGTTTACGAAAGTGCATGCAGTAGATATAATGTGTCAGTGTGATAAATAGTTGATGCCTAGTGAAAATAGCGGGGCCACAAGATGTGTTTGCAGTTCTGATTTCAGAATCTTGAAAGTGTTAATATCCCTCTGTACTGCAGACCTCTGGAAAATGAATTTTTCTCTATTTAATTATCTTGGATATTAATTTTTTATGAAGATCATAAATGTATATCGGTGTAAATTCAGAAATTTTTGCGAGATTATTTTATTGCAACATAAGATGGGCAAGAATAAAGGCATGGATTTTAAATTTTGGTAGCATTATTTGTATGCAGCATTTCCTTAAATTGTCAATTGCTCAAAAATAGCAATAATAAATGCTTGTAAAATACCTGTATTTGCAGTATTCCAAAAGGCAACAACTTGTATGATCTTGTATAAGATAACAACTGTGGATCCACGGACATAACTAATGAAAATAGGCCTCAGAGTAATTCTAATATTCAACATACCTTTGCTCTTCTCAATATTGAATCTTTGCTAGCATCATATGGCGCATCTTTACTAGGAATTTCTATTACTGCTGGAATTGGCTGGTCATGTGAATCTATTGCATATCTTATTTCTTCTGCTATCTGAAAGAAAACATTAACAATTCTCAATGTTTATATATTAAAAAAAACAAGACTGTAATTACTAAATGCAATATCTTATAAATAGTTCTATTATTTTCCTTGATTTATTGGACATTACAAGAATTAAAACAAAACTGCTTGTCTGGTTGACTAATTTGTAAAATTATTTCTATCAAATAAACTCTATGTTTTTAATTTTAAGTTGTGATTTGCTAAAAAATACAAGAAGAAATGGGGAGTTTCATGTAGCACTTCTATCTTGTTTCATGTAGAGTACAAATAAAATCTGTATCAAAACAGTATATGGGCAATTAACATGATTGAATTATCATAAATTCATCATAAACTTCATAATTTTTACAATACATGCATATTATATAACATTATATTTGAGAGTAAATGCATTGAAGAAATTCAGCCACAACTCAAATTTTCAGAAATTGATAATTTAATTTGATTTGGCTAAATTTCATTTACTAGTCCTCTCTGCAAGCATCATTAACATATAATTTTCTCTCAAAAGTATGATGGATTAAAATTGGAATTGAAACAGAGAATTATCTAAAGAAAAGCTTTAGAAAGAAACTGCAGAAGCTAAAGACTGTTAGGAAATGTGAATATTTGTACTTAGTACAAACAAAGGAGACAAAAGTTTGGAGTCTATCTTTTGTTTATGTTCATAAAACTTGTGCATTTGAAACATAAACATCTCGTACAGTATATATATCATGCATATATCAATGCACAAATCAGTAACCTGTGATATCACTCACTGGTTTACGGTATGTGCATTTAATAATTATAAGCACAGTCATACCTGTATTCTAAGGTCAATCTGGGACCAGAAAAAACTTACTATATTAGAAGTTACCTTTGAATTGAGGTTCAATATGCATGGTATTATTTCAGTGGTACAAGAAGAGGGTGACCAGACAAGACATATTTAGCTTAAAAGAGGTGACCTTTACAGCAGGTTTGACTGTACCATATCATTTGACTTGAGGTGACCTTTATGGCAGATTTGACTGTACCATATCATTTGACATGAGGCGACCTTTATAGCAGGTTTGACTGTACCATATCATTTGACTTGAGGTGACCTTTATAGCAGGTTTGACTGTACCATATCATTTGACTTGAGGTGACCTTTATAGCAGGTTTGACTGTACCATATCATTTGACTTGAGGTGACCTTTATAGCAGGTTTGACTGTACCATATCATTTGACTTGAGGTGACCTTTATAGCAGGTTTGACTGTACCATATCATTTGACTTGAGGTGACCTTTACAGCAGGTTTGACTGTACCATATCATTTGACTTGAGGTGACCTTTACAGCAGGTTTGACTGTACCATATCATTTGACGTGAGGTGATCTTTATAGCAGGTTTGACTGTACCATATCATTTGACTTTGATACTTACTGTTTGATTTATTAATACAATAGCTATATCATCTCTCTTCAAAAATCCTCTGAATGCTTCTTCTATGTCATGGCGAGGAGTGTCTAAAATAAGAGAGTACACTTGCATTAATCAGGAAGAAGTATATTTGGAAGAGAAAAAGAATGAGCATTAAACTTTTTTCTATGTATAAAGCAGAAGTATCCTCTAACAGTGGAATACTGAAACTGGTTACTAAGGAGCTAATGAACAATTTTCTAGGAAGATCCAAAATATCTCTTATAGATAAATTAATTTTTGCCATTTCTCACTCTTAAACTTTGATTGAACACTGTACAACACAACCAACTTAACTGTGACCATATTAATTATATTTATGGAATGCCTTTTATGAATTAACAAATTCAATGCATGAAAAGCATAGCTTCATGAGCTTTGATTGGATTAAATATGTTCTTTAGTTATGCTTGGCTATACATAATTTGTAATATTAATGGGCAATGACACTTGTTAAAGATTAAATGCTGACCAATGAAACTTAACTGTCACAATGACTGTAATTTTCATGAATTAAATACTGTAAATTCAAAAATTATTGTGTGCATTTATTATTCTGAATTTTTTAGAATGGACTAAAATGCAAGATTAATTATTGCGATTGCAGGAAAATCTGCAACAGATATATGTATCAGATATAAAACTATTCTTATTATTGCAATACTCATTCAGTCACATTATTCGCATTAATAAAAACCTCGCAATTATTTCTGAATTTACAGTAAGTCAATCAAATAGTGGCCTCTTACTTTTTCCCAGGAAAAAGAAATATTGTTTAATGGGTTGTTGATTGCATAAGGTCCAGGAACAAAGATTATAAGCATGCTCAATTCATGAAAAAGACCTTTGAAAAGTAGATGAAATGAAATGACTGAACATCCAGTGACATAATTTGGGAATGTTTATTTTAACATAAAAAAAAGGCAGGACAGAAACAAGTTTCTACTTTTAATTCACTTGGTTTAGTTGCTAGGAAAGGGAGAGAAAAATGAGAACATGGTCTCCCTTAAACTTTATTTTAGGTATATATATGCGACCAATTTTTCTGAATTTAGGTTTTGGTATTTCTAGAAATTTCTAAGATGTTGATAAAGAAATTCATCATTATCGCCTTTATGTTTTTAGACCACATTATTCCTTTTTGTAGCTCCCCTCTGGCATTCATTTGCTTCAAGTTTAGGGAACCATGTTTTAATTTAGGGTTAGGTTTAGATATTTGACTGTGCTAGGGTAAGGTATGGGTTGTAGTATTTATGTTACAATATAATAAAACTGGCTAAAATAATGTATAAATGAAATGTAAATTTCTATAATACTTACTTTTATTAACAACAAGAAAATTGGGCTCTCTTTTTTTATTCAACTCTCCAATTCCACCAAGCAAAAACCCAGTACAGGTATCCTGTAAAAAAATTATATCTGGTTAGTGGCTTTGACAATATACATTGTACATGTAGTAGCTTAAATAAACTTTTATACAGTGTACATGTACTTCTACAAGCAGTTGTCATTAAGCTTTCACGAGTGTCGCAAACCATGGAGTTAGAATTTGTGTTCTACTTTGCAATATAAAGTTCAAGTTATGCTCAGAATTCGAGGTAAAGTTCAAGATAGAGTTTCAGTTGTGTTTCGAGTTATGCTTCCAATTAAACTTTGTGTAATTGTTCCAGTTAGAGTTAGAATTTAGAATTAGAAAGCTTTTTGAGGTGCAAAAGAGAAAATATGTTTCCAAACATACCAAAGTGAATATGAAATAGTGGATTGCTGAGAGAGAAATCTCAAGTGTCAAAATGGGGAAAGATGGCCCAAAAATTTTCTATAAGAATTGGTTTAATCAGCATCTATTTTTATCCATTCTTACCTTTAGATATTAATTAAACATTAACCAAATGTTCAAGTGTCTGTCCCAAATGAGGACCTGTTAGTGTTTCTCTATTGTCATTTGAAAATAAAATGCTCCGCAGGGCGCAGCTTGATACGACCGCAGAGGTCGAACCCTGAACAGTTGGGGCAAGTATGGACACAACATTCAAGCTTGATACAGCTTTGCATTTGGATTGTGATTAAATATTTGACACAGCATAGGTTTCTGACACAGAATGAATGTGGTCTAAGAACTTAAAAATTTTAAATTGGACATTCACCTATTATGGTCCAATATCCAAAATCTAAATATATGGTTAGATTCAGCATATCAAAGAACCCCATATATTCAATTTTTGTTGAAATCAAACAAAGTTTAATTTTGGACCCCGATTTGGACCAACTTGAAAACTGGGCCCATAATCAAAAATCTAAATACATGTTTAGATTCAGCATATCAAAGAACCCTAAGAATTCAATTTTTGTTAAAATCAAACTAAGTTTAATTTTGGACCCTTTGGACCTTAATGTAGACCAATTTGAAAACGGAACCAAAAATTAAGAATCTAAATACACGGTTAGATTCGGCATATCAAAGAACCCCAATAATTCAATTTTTGATGAAATCAAACAAAGTTTAATTTTGGACCCTTTGGACCTCAATGTGGACCAATTTAAAAACGGGGCCCAAAATCCAAAAACTAAATACACGGTTAGATTCAGCATATTAAAGAACCCCAAGAATTCAAGAATAAAACCCCATTGAAATTGGTCAAGAAATAAGCAATTTATACGAAGTATCTTCTTTTGCACAATACTGTGCAATTAAATATTTCTTGCTATTGCGCAATACTGTACAATTGACAATTTCTTGCTATTGCGCAATATTGTGCTATTGGATATTTCTTGCTATTGCGTAATACTGTGCAATTGAAGATTTCTTGCTATTGCGCAATACTGTGCAATTGAAGATTTCTTGCTATTGTGCAATACTGTGCAATTGAAAATTTATTGCTATTGCACAATACTTATTATGTAATAATTTACACATCCTGTTTGGTGTGTATCTCCTACCATATCATTATTATTTGCTTTTAAATATAAATCAAAAATAACCAACTTAAAATGGAAAATTTTAAAGGAAAAAAAAAAGGAAAAAAATAAAAAAAATGAAACCCCCCCCCCCCCAAATTTTTTGAACCCCTTTATGATTCATCACCCCCAAACTCAATCCCAGCCTTCCCTTTGTGGTATGGTACCTTGCAGTACAATTTCAGAGAGATCCATACACTTGAACACAAGTTATTGTCTGGAAACTAGAAAAATGTGTTTTTTTGCCCCTTTTTTAGCCCCTAATTCCTAAAATTTTGAGGCAATTACCCCCAAAATCAATCCCAGCATTCCTTTTGTGATATGGAACCTTGTGGTACAATGTCAGAGAGATCCATACACTAACACACAAGTTATGTCTGGAAGTTACAAAAATGCTTATTTTTGGCCCCTTTTTGGCCCCTAATTCCGTTACTGTTGGTACCATAACCCGCAAAATCAATCCCAACCTTCCTTTTGTGGTATTGAACCTTGTGGTAAAATTTCATAGAGATTCATTCACTTAAACTAAAGTTAGAGTGTGAAAACCAATGTGTCTTCGGACGACGCCAACAACGACGATAACGCCAACGTCATACAAATATACGACCACAAAAATTTTTTTGTGGTCGTATAAAAAAGGAGTTTTTGGCAGATGTTTGAAGACACTTTTTTTTAGAAAAGGTGCAGTTTAGAGCTTGACCTATTCATGATATTGCAAACATGTCTGTTTATTGTTGAAGACCTATGGTGATTTATGTTGACCTCTATATTTTTTTCATTTCATTTGTTTATGGTGGCTGCAGCAAATGTGATGACTGGAAGGTTTTATTCTCAGACTGTTCTTAGGAAGAATTAGTTTTGATATGCCTCATTGCTTGTTCTCTCCTGGAAAAGGTGATATTGGCCTCTGGTTTTGCTATCACTATGCCTTAGGTCTTGGAATTTACAGGTTGAAGAAGATCCTCATAAATTGGTTTTATCCCTATTCGCAATGATTACTGGGTAATAGGATTTATACTTTAAAACTGGTATTAATTTACAGTGATAAAATTTTGAACTTTGGATATCAGGATATTTTATGTTGTGGCGCAAACATTCATGTACAAATGTAAAAGTCAACATTTTGCCAAGAGTCACAATTTCACAAAGACTGAAATATCAACTAGATAAAAGTTAATGGACTTAAAAAAAAAATTTAGGAGAGGCTATTTTATTAACTTTTATTCAGTTCTCATTTGAAACATGTGAAATATGTCCAAGCAAGTGTTGTTATCATGTTTGTCATACATCTATATGTATGTCAAAGTTGTTAAATCTATTTTGAGTTTGTCAGTCATTGTGTCACTGCTCTGATCTGCTCTGTATGTAGTGAATAATTATACATGTATGGAGAAGAAGTCCCCAATAACAGTAAGAAGATCAATACAATAATGAACTCAAAATTATTAACTTTTTTTTCTTATATTTTCTAAAGTTGAGCTTGCGCATTAACCTATTCCTGTTCTGTTGACAGATGCTGGCATTTTGAGTCATACGATTTCCCGCAAATTTGTATAACTCATTACCAAAAAGAATAATGAGGACAAACATTTTTAATTTATTCTGTTTGGGTATGTAATAAAATGAGTCTAGAGCTTATTAGTCCCCTACCGACGAAGTCAAAGGGGACTTTAGGTTTGCACTCTGTCCGTCTGTCTATCTGTCCGTCTGTCCATCCTTCAGTCCGACAAATCAGTTTTCCAGACTTTTTTCTTCATGCTTGAAGATATTGATTTGATATTTGGTTTATTGTTTTAACATGACAAGTTACAGGTCAAGTTCGATTTTCACGATTTTAGCTTTTCTCCTTGTTCAGTTAAAGCCCTTTCCCTAAAATTAAATTTTTGATGAAATACTTATTAATTACTAGGTTTCTGTTCAAAGGGAATTAACTCATTTTTTAACTTTCCCTAAAATTAAATTTTTGATGAAATACTTATTAATTACTAGATTTCTGTTCAAAGGGAAATAACTCTTTTTTTTTTTAAAGATTTGTAAAAGACATTGTATATTAAGATAAATGACATTTTGGATTTTTTTCCTTTTCTTTAGTAAATTGTTTGAAGAATTTAGTGGTAGGTTTGCTCCATTACAATGAATTTTTAACCGGTAGGGGACTATGTATTGCCATGCAATACTCACAGAATGCTTGTTCAACATACAATTTAATGTAAACAAAATGGGTTTTCTGGGCAAACTCACCTCAGATCAATCAGGCAGATTTTTTTATCTGTACAAAGATCATTAATAAGCCGACTTTGTATATTCGTTGTTTTTCATGTTTTTAGATATACATGTAAATTATTATGTTTCAATTAAACTATATCTTAAAAAGAGGGGAAAAAAACAACGCTATCTTCATCTTTCTTTACATCATGTACATTGAAAATGATGTCATATATTAAATTCCTAACAATAGGAACAAGAACAATGTTTCCCTAATTCAGTTACTTTTTCACCAGAAATTACATGGATACTGGGATTTTTTTACAATAAATGTTTATATATATATAAATCTATTTTGTTTGAGAATGTAATAATTGGGATATCATATAAAGTATTCTAAAGGTTTGCTGACTTGGTCCCTTTCACAGGTAACACCTGCCTCATATTACTCATATATTACTAGGTGACAAAGTGTATGGCTCTTTTTAATAGCATATAAAATTATATTTAAATATAATTAGTTTCATGTTTATATGTCTTACAGTTTACATCTTAAGAGCAACAATTACAATACTATCAATCCAAAATATGACTTGGATACTGTATGATTTAGAGACCATTACAGTTTTTGGCAAAGATAAATATACACATATGGGTAACCATAATATCCAGATGGGGTTGGACATGGGCTACTTCATTACTGAGATAAGTCAGGAGAGTTTTTGCTAACTGTATACTTCCTCGCGGAACCACTTATGTAATATAAAATGATTTTATAAACATGAAATAAAGTTTTTAATCTTACTTCATCACCAATTACAGCAATTAATCTTCCTTTTTGAGCAGAATGTGCCATTTTCACATCATATGATACAATTTCGCAAGGAGTGAATAATATCAAAACCAATTTCCGGATCAGGATATATTACGTAATCCGAAATTGTGACGCATTGGGTGATACAAATCGGGACTAGCTCAAGCCAGAGATATATGCCTCTGCTCAAGCAAACAAACAAGATTAATCACAAAATAAATATTTAGTTGCTTCATTTAGTACAAGAAATCATAGTTACAAATGTCTCATGTTTACAAGGATTTCTGTTAGTACTATTTCAGATCAGTTTAGTATCACCCGAGACATATATAATATATTATGTTATGTACATTATTGTGTATTATATGTCTCTGTTACCACTGAGAGACGGATCTTAAATCTAACTCTATTCTATCATGTTTCTGCGGAGACTACTATAACACTGTAATCCTCAGCTATAATCACAGACACTCTGAGTTGTCTCTACTTGAAAAAAAAATCCTATTTACCTTAATATAACGTAATAATAATAATATAAAGGAAAAAAACTTTTCCAGAGACAAGTGCCTGTGACTATAATGTGTTATAGTAGTCTCAGGTCTTTGCCATACATTTTTCATCTTTATGATTCATATTCTGTTCTAAATTGATCTTTTTTTCATAGGCTTCAAATTGAACATAGTGTGACGGGATTGCTTCCCCGGTTGATCTAGGGAAGCGCTTCTTTAGCTCAGTCGGTATACGCGCTGCCTTGTAACACAGAGGTCCCGGGTTCGATTCCCGGAGGAGACAAAGATGATTTTGTAAGAAGAATCATGCTCTCCGTTTACAATAGCAAGCACTTGTTACGGTAGCTAAAATTAAGGGACGATATCTAGACACTAATTAAGACCATAGATGTTAAGGCTAAGATGGTTTATTTTAAAAAAGGAATGAGAAAGAAATTGATGTCCCCCAGAAACTACTATAACACATGAAACCCAGCAGTCTCAGCTTCCACCAATGCATAATATTTTACAGTTTTTGTTATTTTCATTGCACTTAACAATAATTTTCTGTTTAATTTGGGGTAAAACTTTATAAATAATCCACGTGTGCAACAGTATGTAATCATTGGATGTCGATGGAATACTGTATTATTAAAGATGAAGAGAAAGATGTTACTGTCACGAACAATTTTCACGACTGGATGAAATTCTTGACAATGATTTTCTTTTCTTTATTTCTAATTTATGGACAATAGATAAGATGCCAGATTTGTGTATTTAAAGACAAGAACAATTAAATCGGACAACATATACACAAATGTAAGTAACAAGTAAGTTAGTAATACAACAGTCTACAAAACACAACATAGTAAACTAAAGCCTGAGCAACACGAACTCCAGTAAAAACCGGGGGTGATATCAAGTGGGAAGGGTAAGCAGATCCTGCTGCACATGTGGCACTCGTTGTGTTAGGCAATTTAAAGTCGACATATATGTACACACTATCAAAGAAAACATAATTGACTATCATATAAAAATCGTGCAGCTTCAAGCAAATACTTATAAATAAGTAAAAGGCATGCAAATATAAAGAAAGCATGGCATACTTGATTTCTGAATCCCATGCGGCAAACACCTCTATGTGCATTGACGGAGCAATAACTGAAATATCATAAAATCATGGTACTTACAAAGCTCAAAACCGTGATAAATAAATTAATTAGCACAGGCATGCTATATGTAATAATAATAAAAAAAGGTAGAGCAAGGCCTGAGAAAAAGGCAGAAACATCTAAACCTCAGACTACTATTATAACCCAGTCTCTGTCACGGTTATATATAGTAGTCCGGGCTTAGTCTAAACATTCATTTTTAGATTGTTGATTTTCACTATGAAATTCGTCTACCTATCTCTTTAAGATCAGTATTTTTGGGGGGAAAGAAAACAGAGAAAGCTATATTTTGACAAGAGACCGGGTCAAACTATTTATTGGATAGTTTGAAAAAGAGTCATATCCTTCTCATGCAACTCCCAATGACTGACTGTCCATCGGCCTACATTGGTTGGATCAAGGGTTCATACACGGTTATCGACTATCTGAATCCAGAGACATATATAGACATGTATATATATTTCTCTGGTGAATCATTGCCGTCAGAACAAAAACAAGTTTTAACAATTGGCGTTTAATATTGAAGTACAAAAGATAAAAAAAAGTCTGAAGTCAAAAGTAAAATAACAAAAATACCGAACTCCAAGGAAAATTCAAAACGGAAAGTCCCTAATCAAATGGCAAAATTAAAATCTCAAACACGTCAAACGAATGGAAAACAACTGTCATATTCCTGACTTGGTACAGGCATTTCCGAGTTATGTAGAAAATGGCAGATTCAGTAAACCTGGTTTTATAGCTAGCTAAACCTCTCACGTGTATGACAGTCGTCAGTGTACAAAATTAGTCCTCTGCTGGCACCAGTAGATAATTATTCAATGAAACAATTTAAAAAAAAAATCAACTTCAACGGATTAAATACGGTGTAAATGGAATGCAAACTGGTTATACCAGAATTATAGCTGGTTATTATATGATTTATGGTTATACTATATCCAAGTTGAAAAATTATATATGTTATTACAAAGAGATTCGCTTTTCAAAAATTATTTTAAGACCAGTTTCTTATGAATATTTCAAACCAAATGCATGCTAACATTATGATAATAATATGTCTATATGAGCGAAATAAACTTTGGTAACATTATACATAAATATTTCATCAGTTTTCCGTACAATTTGGGTCTTTCTCCGTATACCGATAAGGAAATTATTAATGACAACTGGTTCCCTATTTATTTTTATAATGCCATTGCTCATACAGCAAATTAACTTAAACCAGATGGTTAAATTTGTAGGTGGCGTTGTGTTTGACAGGTGTCGATGAAGACGAAGTGATCTGCCTGGTCAATATTTACGAAAACAGTAAACAATCTGGTAGTGAATTTTAAAAGAAATAAGGCAATCCACAAAGTATTTTGTACACTTGTTCCAAAACCCTCTAAAGAGAACCAGTCCCTCTTCGACCCACAGGACTTTACAGTGTTATATTATTCATTTTTAATAATCTTAAAAAATGAAAATTTCCAACAGGGATAGCCAGATTTATAAATTGTTTTGCCATCCATAAACCGATTCTTAAGGATAAAAAGGGGGTGGTTTTGCAACGTAGCATTAAAATCCAAAGTTTTTGAGTCATGGATAGTTTGTTGCAATATCAGTGGATTGATTGATTTGGCAACAAAATGAAAACTAATTTCTTTGTAGGATGGGGTATTTGTTAGTGATCTTATTATTTTTATTATTTAACTATGTACAACCCAGCCACAATCTAAATGTGCCTGTCCAAAGTCAGGAGCCTGTATTTCAGTTGTTGTTGTACATGTAAGGTTGCTGTCTGTCATTTATTTTTTTTATTCATTATTTTGTCTTAAATCAGACTAGTTGGTTCACATTTTTTCATAACAGGGCCTTAAATAGCTAACTATAAGTAAAGGTATGGGTTATGCTCATTTTTTAAGGCAGAACGGTCTGAACCTTTACCTATATTTGCTAAAATCTACACCATTTTGACTCTAGTGGATAGTTGTCTCATTTGCAAACATACCACATCTCTTTATTTTGTTATCATTGCTATTTTGGAATCGGTCTGAACTACATTGAATAGATGTATTTACACTTGTACGCAAATTTGTCTGCCATTGCTGTCGTGTCCATTTATTGGGTTTTACACTTTGAAGGAAGACTGAAAAACACACAATGGAAAAAACATATGGGAGAAACAAATTTGTCCCCATTTGCTCAAGATTTTCAGTTAATACATATCTGTATCTCCCTACTCACTATAGTTCAATTTTATTTTTTTAAGAGAGTGGTAGAAGATGGCAGAGGGATATTCAAACCCAAAGTCGAAGACAAACTGACAACACCTTTAATTGTTATGTCTTCCACAATATATAACATCATGAACATACAAACATCTATTCTAAATCTCTTTTTTTCTGAATGAACAAGAATCTATGACAATGTACAAATGATGTATTATTGTTCTAGCACAAACATTAATATATTTTGGGTTTACATTAATGAGACATCAACCCAATGACAAAAACAACCAATATACATCTTAACAGTGTTCCAGCTTGATCGTAATTTTTTGTTTTCACAGGTCGGTCCGCCCGCCCTTTCCCGACTGCCGCCCTGTGCCCTTTTTCGCAAGTACATGCCTTTATTGTCGTAATATTTTGATGAAAATACTATAATTCTACCTGTCTTCATATTTCTGACAAGTTTATGACCCTCAGCTAAATAACATTTACAACAGGTGTTATAAGTTGTGATTACAGGTAATCTGCTTATCGCCATCAGATGGGTCACTAATCCGTTAATTAAACCACATAATTGACCATTATAATTATTTTCCCCAGTAAAATCAGTCAGTCAGCATTTAAATTTTAATGTTTCTTAAAAGACCACAATTTGCAGTTCGTTTTTGAATTGATCAAAATTCATCAATTGGACGTTTTTTCGTCACATTTTATATAACTTTTCATTAAAAAAATCTTTCGACAATTTTGATTATAAAGATAAAACTTTAATCAAAACGTTTAAAAATACTTTCAAGAGTCAAACTTGATTTCGTTATCATGTACCGCGCAGGCGTGAACGTATTTTTATACGACCGCTAAAAAATTTTTGTGGTCGTATATTGGTATGACGTTGGCGTCATCGTCGTTGTCTGGCGTCGTCCGGAGTCATCCGAAGACACATTGGTTTTCGCACTCTAACTTTAGTTTAAGTGAATGGATCTCTATGAAATTTTACCACAAGGTTCAATACCACAAAAGGAAGGTTGGGATTGATTTTGGGGGTTATGGTACCAACAGTAAAGGAATTAGGGGCCAAAAATAAGCATTTTTGTAACTTCCAGACATAACTTGTGTGTTAGTGTATGGATCTCTCTGACATTGTACCACAAGGTTCCATATCACAAAAGGAATGCTGGGATTGATTTTGGGGGTAATTGCCTCAAAATTATAGGAATTAGGGGCCAAAAAAGGGGCAAAAAACAAGCATTTTTCTAGTTTCATGACAATAACTTGTGTGTAAGTATATGGATCTTTCTGAAATTGTACTACAAGGTTCCATATCACAAAGGGAAAGCTGGAATTGAGTTTGGGGGTAATTGCCGAAACGTTTAGGAATTGGGGGCCAAAAAGGGGCAAAAAATAAGCATTTTTCTAGTTTCCAGACAATAACTTGTGTTCAAGTGTATGGATCTCTCTGAAATTGTACTGCAAGGTACCATACTACAAAGGGAAGGCTGGGATTGATGATGGGGGTAATTGCCTCAAAATTATAGGAATTAGGGGCCAAAAAGGGGCAAAAAACAAGCATTTTTCTAGTTTCAGGACAATAACTTGTGTGTAAGTGTATGGATCTTTCTGAAATTGTACTACAAGGTTCCATATCACAAAGGGAAAGCTGGGTTTGAGTTTGGGGGTAATTGCCCTAAAAGTTTAGGAATTTGGGGCCAAAAAGGGGCCAAAAAACACATTTTTCTAGTTTCCAGACAATAACTTGTGTTCAAGTGTATGGATCTCTCTGAAATTGTACTGCAAGGTACCATACCACAAAGGGAAGGTGAGGATTAAGTTTGGGGGTGATAAATCATAAGGGGGTTCAAAAAATTTGGGGGGGGGATTTTTTTTTTTTCCTTTTTTTTCTTTTAAAATTTTCCATTTTAAGTTGGTTATTTCTGATTTATATTTAAAAGCAAATAATAATGATATGGTAGGAGATACACACCAAACAGGATGTGTAAATTATTATATAATTAGTATTGTGCAATAGCAAGAAATTTTCAATTGCACAGTATTGCACAATAGCAAGAAATCTTCAATTGCACAGTATTGCGCAATAGCAAGAAATCTTCAATTGCACAGTATTGCGCAATAGCAAGAAATATCCAATAGCACAATATTGCGCAATAGCAAGAAATTGTCAATTGTACAGTATTGCGCAATAGCAAGAATTTTTAATTGCACAGTATTGTGCAAAAGAAGATACTTCGTATAAATTGCTTATTTCTTGACCAATTTCAATGGGGTTTTATTCTTGAATTCTTGGGGTTCTTTAATATGCTGAATCTAACAGTGTATTTAGTTTTTGGATTTTGGGCCCCGTTTTTAAATTGGTCCACATTGAGGTCCAAAGGGTCCAAAATTAAACTTTGTTTGATTTCATCAAAAATTGAATTATTTGGGTTCTTTGATATGCCGAATCTAACCGTGTATTTAGATTCTTAATTTTTGGTTCCGTTTTCAAATTGGTCTACATTAAGGTCAAAAGGGTCCAAAATAAAACTTAGTTTGATTTTAACAAAAATTGAATTCTTAGGGTTCTTTGATATGCTGAATCTAAACATGTATTTAGATTTTTGATTATGGGCCCAGTTTTCAAGTTGGTCCAAATCGGGGTCCAAAATTAAACTTTGTTTGATTTCAACAAAAATTGAATATATGGGGTTCTTTGATATGCTGAATCTAACCATGTATTTAGATTTTTGATTTTTGGGCCCCGTTATCAACTTTGTCCACATTGAGGTCAAAAGGGTCCAAAATTAAACTTTGTTTGATTTCATCAAAAATTGAATTCTTGGGGTTCTTTGATATGCTGAATCTAACCATGTATTTAGATTTTGGATATTAGACCATAATAGGTGAATGTCCAATTTAAAATTTTTAAGTTCTTAGACCACATTCATTCTGTGTCAGAAACCTATGCTGTGTCAAATATTTAATCACAATCCAAATGCAAAGCTGTATCAAGCTTGAATGTTGTGTCCATACTTGCCCCAACTGTTCAGGGTTCGACCTCTGCGGTCGTATCAAGCTGCGCCCTGCGGAGCATTTTATTATAAATTTAATAGACACTAAAACGTAAAATACGAAATCATTTTGTATCAAATTAAACGAGAGAGACCAATACATGTATATTTCTTACTGAGTAACTTAATTTTCAGAAATGATAACTTCCTGCCTTTTTGTTAAACACAGTCCGTAGATGAATCCGGATTCATTCTAAATTTATTGTCCTCTCGTCACTTCCTGTTTTCATTAATAAATCGAAAGAAAACAAGATCTACTCACGGTCGCTATCCTATATTGGTATTTTATATAGGATAGCGACCGCCATTGACGGTAAAATCTCGTCTATCCCACTTAACAAGCCTCTGTGATCTACTCTTGATAAATTTAAAATAGATAGTCATTTTAATCGTTTCAAGTTTATAAAAATGAATTCCAAATATCAATTTAAACGTTTTTACAGGGATAGTGATAATGTAGTGAAATAGTCGTTACAATTTCATTTATGAATTATGCTGTGATTCCTGGTTTTAAAAAAGAGGAACCCAACTTTTGTTGATCAGGATGTCCCCTAAAAATAACTGAAATTGTGAACTAAATTTTCCGGATCCTTGTTCTAATCTTCTATTTAAGCATCACACCAGTCAAATCATACCATGACTGCCTACATTTGTAGCATGCCTAAGGCCTTCAAAGATCCTAGTCCTTGAACATGTTGAAGGACTTGGGCATATGTATAGCTAGTAATATACGTCCTTGGTCCCTTACTGTTACCCAAAATAAGGTTGATTTTCATCTTGGGTAAAAGTGACTAAAGCCCTCAAAACTCCTAGCTGAAACCCCTGCTGTTTTCATAACACAATGTTTGGAATGCCCTTTTTGAATTATCAATCAGCGTGTTAAAGTGCCCTTTTCATAATTGGCTCCCTGCCCTTTTGAAATCCTAGCTGGAACACTGATCTAGAGGACTTCACACAATAAGTTATACAGGTGTCCACACAATATGCCAAGCTCTTATTTTTCCCAAGTCTGTGAAAGTAGTGAATAAATTAAACTTAAAGGAGAAACAATCAAAGACCCGCCATCAAAATGATCAACACCAGATTCTCCAAATAACAAAAAAAAAAAAATATATATTACATAAGACAACCATTGACAAGGTTCCTAGTTTGGGACAGGCACAGGAATACATGTATGTGAGACAGATACATCAAGGATTTGTATAGTATACAAATCCTTGGTTACATGTAATGAATTTACAATTTTGTAACCTAAATATAGTTTTAAGCTTAAAATTTAAAGTGATAGTGGCTAAAGAATATAAAAACAGTAGACCTATGTAAAACTAATTTTTTGAATTGTATTTTGAGATATGAGCTGTGTACTTCAAAGGTGTTTTTAATTTAAGATATCTGATTTTTTTTTTCAGGTACAAAAATTGTATGTACCACCTGTACACAGATATGCCTCTTATTGAAGGGGTAGGAGATGAAGTTACTGTTGTTTTTACCATTTTTTTACTATTTCTAATTCTCTGTATTGCATGGGTGTCAACAAATATTCAAGAACTACCCTTCTTTAGTATCATTGTAATAGACTTTACCAGAAGACAGAATAGAAATGCACAACAAACTAACAGTCTTGAAGCTAGTGATAGTTCTGCCGTAAGTTCAACCTCTAGTGAGGAATCAACAGGGGACCAGTCCATTCAGGAGGAGACTGACAATGCCAGTAGGTCTTCTTCTGTGGAAAGTGTAAACGAACAAGTGACTGGAGCAGAAAGTCGAATTCCAGTTCAAACAGATGATGTATCAAAGTCAAAGGACAAAAAAGAGTTATCTAATGAAAATGTGGTTATAGAGGATTCAGGGGAAGATGGGGTTTTAGGGGACAGAAACGAAGATTGTGATGACTTGCCTACAACAGAAACTGAACTGAGACGTAGGAGGGTTGCATTCTTTTCTGATAAAAATCAAGTTATAGAGACAAAAAAAGAAAGTAGTAATCAAGAATCAGAGCCAAATGTTATAAATGACAAAAACCCATCAAATTCACCAAACAATGAACTTCCATCAAATTTACCAAACAATGAACTTAATAATAAATCTGAGTCTATTAGAAATGAAACTGAAGATTTGATTAATGCTGAATTTAATGTTACATCTGAATCGGAAACTAATTCTAGTCAGAGTGATAGAGTTCGGATACGACTGAAATACCTAAATGACACTCAAAGAAATGTAGAAGCATCTTTAGAGGATACAGTCGAACAGTTCAGAAGGTATGGCATAATCATCATCATGACCATTGTTGCTTACTTTGTTTATAATTTTCAATGCATACTTTTATACATGTAGTACTGTAATCAACTTTGATGTACTGCAAATTAGCCAAGATAATGTACATGTAGAACAGTTTTATATTTCTAATTTATTGAACAATTTTAACTCCATATTTTAAAGTTCTAGAATTGTACTTCTGGGTAAGCATTATTTTGTTTACATATAAAACTTAATACAGGTCATGGTACAGCCTAAAAAATGAGCCAAATTCATATTGTATATTACAAAATGTAAGCTATACAAGGTCCTGGGAAAACAAAAATAGAAAGTCATTGGCCTGATCTAAGGGAATAACATTGAACAAAAATGGGTTAAAAAATATGAACCAAATTTGGCTGTAATATATTTAGAAGACAGGACAAAAAAACTATGAAAAAAATGGAATCCCAAATTCTTCAAGTGAATGTAGTTTTGAATGAAAGATATGCATATCCTGCATTCCTGCTATGCACATACTGTATTTAATTATTCTTCATTTCATATTTATTTCAGGGCACATTTTGCAGAAGAGCTTGAAGCAGATAAACTTGTTCGATTCATTTTCAATGGTCAGGACCTAAGGAATGATGCTAACACACTACAAGCCTACAATATTGTTGACAACAGTGTAATACATTGTCTTATTACTCAAGTTAATCGCCAAAATACAACATCTGGTGTAGAGAACGAAGATGAAGGATTTGATGTTGGCATGCTAATGCTTCCATGTTTTGGAATCATTTTATGCTTTATGTGGTACCTAAGATTTGAATATCGTCAATTTTTTTCTGGGACATCAACTGTATGCTTAATAGGCATGTCTTTGCTTTATATAGCAGCTTTGTTGGCAATGATGGAGAATAGAAGAAGAGGACACCATCATGTCCATGTGGATTGAATTTTATAGGATTCTATCTAATGTTTCTTTTTTTTAGGGTTCTCAAAATTGTGCTGGTGACTGGCAACTTCACAATTTACTTCGTCTTATTCCTGGAAAAAAAAATTAAAATTTTGGTTAAGTGTCACCTTCTTTTTACAATTAAGCAATTTTCAACATATATATTTGAGAACCCTGTTTTTTATTTATTTCAATCTTGTAATATATATGCCTCAGTCAGTATAAGAAAAGTATGGATTTGACAACCTCATGAAACTTGAGTACTGAAATAACCAAATGATTGTTGTTTTTTTCTCAACTTGACAGATACTACTACTAGGTTTGTTTTCAAGTCATCAGCTGAAAAGATCACACCTCACAGCAAGAACAAGTTTGCCTCTTTAGTCAGATATTAGTCTTTCATACTAGTTCAAATCTGGTTTTACTCAAATGATAAGACATTGTTCCTGAATATTTTTTTTTTATATTTTTATTACACCAAAGGTATTTTAAAAAAAATGTTGGAAATAACTTACTTTTTAGTTAAAACTGAATAAAAATATTGAAAAACATGGTGATGGCAAATAAAAAAAGATCATCACTTTTCAAAAAATAGTACATGACGAAAAAAATGTTACAACTGAGGAACCATATAGAGTCATCAAAAGGCAACATTATGAGTAAAAGGGGGAGGGGGGGGGGGGGGGGGGGATGTGTCAAACGGCATCATTATTGAGGAAAGGGTTATGGTAAGGGATATAAAAATGGGTGACCTCTCAGATTTTAGAAGATTTTAGGAAAATTTTACATTCAACTACAGTGTGTAGAACTCCATTTACATGTTTTAATCTTAAATTTCCTGAGATATAGTTCAAATTTTGTCAGATAGAGGTGCACATGTATTTTTTGCAAGTAAAATAGCTTGAAAGTTTAATAATTTCACATTAAAGCAAGATTTCTTGAAAAGTTGTTCTTCAGATTTATGTAACAATTATATGTTAATGCAACAGAAATTTTTGTTTTATCTATATAAAATGTATTAAAGCTCACCAACTTCATTGTATGCATGCAGTTATTTAAATGGTAAAGTATGGCGGGTTGGCGGTGGGCAGATGCCAACAGTTTTCATGCAATAACTTATAAATCTTTCTAACCAATGCTTTTCAAGCTTTAATATTTTTTTACTAATGGCGAAAAGTAGTTCAAGTTTGATATTGATGATTATTAATTTTGCTGTTCATGCAGGAGTCATGGTCCTTGGTATGGGGAAAAGGCACTTTATGTCGTTTCCATGAAATAACTTTTGCACTGTTCAACCAGTGCTTTTCAAATATTAGTATGTTGTTACTGATGACGAAAAATGGTCAAATTCGATGTTGACTATTTTCACTTTTGTTGTTCAGCTGTTATGGTCTTTTAAATTGGAAAATTGAACTTAGTTATTTTCAGTGCAATTGCTTATGAACTGTTCAACCAATGCTTTTCAAATTTTAATTTGTTGTTACTGATGAAGAAATGGAGGTCAAATTTGATATAGAGTTAAGGTCCTTTCAACAACCTTGATAGATTGGAAAACGGCACTTAATATCCAGACAGGTACAAACAGAATGTGTTAAGTCAAACAAGCCTGACAGAGCCATTCATTAGAATATATCAATTTCTTTCATACTACATTTGTAGCTGCCCTCTTAAGTTCGACAATGGTTACCTTCAAAATATAGAAAACCTGGTTTGCTGTCCATTTGACAGTTGATATAGAATAGAGAATGGAAACAGGGAATATGTCAAAGAGACAACAACCTGACCAAAGAGCAGAAAACAGCCCAAGATAAATCTTTTTTTTGTTGTTGTACAAATCATTCATGTGAAAAATTCCCTTAATGATGCTGACAAAAAGTGATGACTGTTGTAACTTTTGTCACATTTTTTCCAGACTATATAAAAGTGTAAACAATATATACTTGCACACAAAATATAAATAAATATATAAAAATAACAAATAATTTTTCCCACATAGGTTTTCTAAAAATGGTGGTTAAAATAATTCCATCATTCCCCTCCCTGGTGACCATTTTCCTTTGATTATAATTTTGGCAAGCAATCATCTTTCCAGATTTTCCATGCCAAAAAGATGATAAAACCAATGGAGACGACTATACTTTTGTACAATGGTTATGTGTACATTTTGTATCAGCATTCTGTGAGGTTATTTGATATTTAGGTATGGACGGTAATTTATATCTACATCAAAAGTGTGAATTTTTCAGCTTTCGATAAATTGTCAATTTTTTACTTTAGTATAAGATTCTGTGTTAAAAGTTTTTATATTTCCATACTGATTTTCACATGGAATGTGATACTATTTATTATGTTTTTGTTGAATATGATATATCTAAATAAATTACATGGTATTGTAATTACTTTCTCTTGTTTTTAACATGCATATTTTAACAGGTGGTGTTGAGTATTTATGAACAAATAAAATAATTGAATGTCCTATATAATCCCGAAATCACACAATGTCTAGAAATGTAGAAGAGTGTCCTCTTTCAGTGGCAAATATAGCATTTCACTCTTGCTTCTTGTTCCTTGCCCTACTCTGTACAATATCTTGATCTAATTTTGAATAGTTTTTTTTTAATGTGCATGAAAGAAGTGATGCAAACAACCAAAGAATGCCAGACACATAATCCTGTGAAATCCTTATTTTCAATTGGATATGGTTTAAAATTCAATGCTCAAAAATCCTTTTGGCTGAAGTTAAAACATTGACAATGTTCAGTAACTTTCTCAGAGGGACCCACAAAATTTATCATTAAGTAGGCCATTTTGCTAGTCCTATTTAAGGTTAAGAATACAGAGTCTGTTACTCATTGAAATTATCCATTTATTGATATCTTTTGTTTGTTTTATGAAGGTAAAAGATACAAACAATCAGAAACAATAAGTCAAAGAAATGATAACACCATGAACAAAAGAAAAACATCGAAAAGACAAACACCAGTCCACAAAACACTACACACAAAACTAGAAATTGAGCAAAATGAAGCCAATCAAAAGTCATAATTAAAAAGAGTAAGCAGTTCCTGCTCCACTAGTTACTCTTCTTATCTATAAATAGCAAGTAAAAAACCACTAACAATCAGTGATGTCATCATTGAGGTAGAGGAAATTATTGTGCAAGTAGAAGTTTTGTATTTCAGAGGGAAGATTGATTGATTAATTGGTTGGTTGGTGTTTAACTCCTTTCAGCACTGTTGGCTATTTCATGGGTAGAGGAAATGATTGTGCAAGTAGAAGTTTTGTATTTCAGAGGGAAGATTGATTGATTGATTGGTTGGTTGGTTGGTTGGTGTTTAACTCCTTTCAGCACTGTTGGCTATTTCATAGTGGTCAGTTTTTATACGACCGCAAAATTTTAGTATATTGGTATGACGTTGGCGTTGTCGTCGTCCGAAGACGCATTGGTTTTTGCACTCTAACTTTAGTTTAAGTGAATGGATCTCTATGAAATTTGACCACAAGGTTCAATTCCACAAAAGGAAGATTGGGATTGATTTTGGGGGTTATGGTACCAACAGTTAAGGAAAAAGGGGCCAAAAATAAGCATTTTTCTAGTTTCCAGACAATAACTTGTGTTCAAGTGTATGGATCTCTCTGACATTGTACCACAAGGTTCCATATCACACAGGGAATGCTGGGATTGATTTTGGGGGTAAATGCCTCAAAATTTTAGGAATTAGGGGCCAAAAAAGGGGCAAAAACAAGCATTTTCTTGTTTCATGACAATAACTTGTGTGTAAGTGTATGGATCTTTCTGAAATTGTACTGCAAGGTACCATACCACAAAGGGAAGGCTGGGATTGATTTTGGGGATAATTGCCTCAAAATTTTAGGAATTAGGGGCAAAAAAGGGGCAAAAAACAAGCATTTTTCTAGTTTCAGGACAATAACTTGTTTAAAGTGTATGGATCTTTATGAAATTGTACTACAAGGTTCCATATCACAAGGGAAAGCTGGGTTTGAGTTTGGGGGTAATTGCCCTAAACGTTTAGGAATTTGGGGCCAAAAAGGGGCCAAAAAACAAGCATTTTTCAGTTTCCAGACAATAACTTGTGTTCAAGTGTATGGATCTCTCTGAAATTGTACTGCAGGTACCATACCACAAAGGGAAGGGTGGGATTGAGTTTGGGGGTGATGAATCATAAGGGAGTTTTAAAAATTTGGGGGGAGGGATTTTTTTTCTTTAAAATATTCCAGTTTAAATTGGTTATTTTTGATTTATATATAAGAGCAAATGATTATGATATGGTTTGAATAGGTAAATTAAATTTTTTTAAGTTCTTAGACCACATCCATTCTGTGTCAGACACCTGTGCTGTGTCAAATATTTAATCACAATCCAAATTCAGTGCTGTATCAAGCTTGAATGTTGTGTCCATACTTGCCCCAACTGTTCAGGGTTCGACCTCTGTGGTCGTATCAAGCTGTGCCCAGCTGAGCATTTTATTATTGGAAGAGCTGGGGTGCCCGGAGAGAACCACTGACTTTCGGTAGGAAAATTCAGATGGAAGATGACCATGACCTCATTTTCATGGTTTTATTGATCAAAGTTGAATTTTCACAGATAGTTAACAATAGGTCAACTATATTTTGTGTATGGATTGATAGTAACACCCCGTTGACAATAGGACATTTAGATCGCTTTAAACTAGATCGGTTTACTTTAGATCGATTTAAGGGCCAATGTGAACGCATTGAATCGATCTTCAATCGGTCTAAACTAAAACACCAAAAGAGGTAGTTTAGTTTGAGTTGATCTAAAGTGAACCAATCTTACTTTAAATGTGAACGCAGAGATCGGTTTAAACTAGTACGATTGGATCGAAAATAATGTATGCGCATGTACAGCGGCACAACTATATCAATGGTTCGATGTTTAACCCATATTTTTCTGTTAACAGACCTTTGTGTACATGCACGTAAAAACAAACTGAAAACATGTTGTCTTTGCCGCAGGGTTCGTTGTGTTGTTACTTCGTTGCTACAGTTTTTAGTTTCAAAATCAAAGAAAACTGCAAGAACACAGTATCAAAATTTGAACTTGTGATTCAAGAGAAACAATAACTTCATCCATTTTTTTTTTCAAGTGTGTGTATCAGTGTATCAACACATCAATTTGATAAATTAGTTCTATTTATACACAATGTTTAGGGGTAATAAGGTCAGATCAATTGCATTTTTAATTGTAGTGTGAATGCACTGCTTCAGATTAGACCGATAGAGACCGTTATGATTTAGGATAATGTGAACGCTAACTGGTTTTATTTAGATCGATTCAAATTAAATCGATTAAAGAAAAACGCTAGTGTGAACGGGGTCTAAGTTGTATATGTCCTTCTTGTCATGTTCACCTAACCTTGACCACATTTTCATTGTTCATTGGTCAAAAGTTAAGTTTTCATGGTAAGGTCTGGTCCTC